CAGACACACACAACCACAGACACATTCTCACATACACACTCCAAAAAAATTGTAGGGGTCCAGTGCGGGCTGTTGTGTTGTGACGAAGCTCCATCCATATGTGTATTGCTTGTACAGCTCCCTTGCACTCCATGTAGAGGTGTCGGGAGCCAGATAGTGACATCACTCCAGTAGTGCAAGGGAGCTGTAAGAAATGCACGTATGGATGGAGCTTCTTTGCGGCCATACCCCTAGCCCACCCCACCTCCAGCTGACACTCGGCGCCAGGCAGCATATTTTGAATGGCTGCTCAGCACGAGGACTAAAAGTTTTGCGCTCAATTAGTGCAGTGGTAAGAATGCGGCGACCCACTGAACATGGGGTCCCGACCCACTTTTGGGTCACAACCCACCAGTTGAGAACCACGGGTATAGGGGGTGCCTTCTCTCACCATATGCAGAGGAAGGGGTACTTGCAGTGACTCCTGCAGCTATGGCAAAGACATGATCAGCCACTACTCATACGCCTACTATTTAGCACAATATTCATTTATATTGATATTTGTGTTGTCATCACAGATTTCCTTTAAGATAAAGTTCTGATTTAAGATGTTTGATAAGTCTATGTAATTCCTATTCATAAAGGTTTCAAAGCAAACCTGTCACAAGTGTTGTGATCACAGATTTCCTTTAAGATAAAGTTCTGATTTAAGATGTTTGATAAGTCTATGTAATTCTTATTCATAAAGGTTTCAAAGTAAGCCTGTAACAAGTCTTGGCAATTCAAACTGAGCAAAATATGGGGAAAAAAAATGAAACACTAATATCAAAATAATAAACAGACCCATAGATTGAGGGCAATAGATTTTACATTCATATCTTGACTTAGCCTCACCACTCCATGTCCTGGTCAGTAAAGTTGGCCTTTATATTAAAAGGACCAAAGGGCAGGACAGGGAGAAGATGGGGAAAGAGGATAGAATTATTTTTACAGGAACAAGTTGCAGTTTGCATAGAACTTCAGCGGCCTCTATCTCTGGATCTACAGATTTCACATGCAATTTTCAGCAAAGGCTACATCTTTTAAATCTGTAAATCATAAAACTGATCCTCTAAATAAAAAAAAGGGGTCTGAAATAAATTGCCTGCACTGTGTAATGTGTTTTAACTGTGCTTCCCTTAGGAGCTATATAGAATTTTCTTTTAAAAGGGGCACAAAGCAGTTTACTTTCTATGGATGACATTAAATGAATTATTGCTCACAAGATGACTATTATTTTTTATGCATTTTATGCAAAGGTGAATGTGACTTAAAGGAGAACTATGAGGTGAGTGATTTACACTCATCCGCATAGTTAAAGCCGACGTGCGACATTAACCTCTTGCCGTCCGCCCGTAGTAAAAAAACGGACGGACAGCACTGTGCTCGTTCGCGTCCGCCCCGCCTCCATAAAGAGGACCTGTCAGTGTGCCTTTGCTATTATATAGGGGGATTGTTATCCCCCTATATAATAGCAATAACAATAAGTGCAAAAAAATAAATATAAATAAAAAAAAAATAAAAGTAACATATAAAATAGTAAAATAAAATAAAAGTCACATATAAAAAA